CTTGACTCACTAATACTACATTGCGAATTAAAATCCCAACTAGATCCCAAGTATAAACTCTAGTCGGGTGCAGTATAGGGCAAGCGTTTTAAATGTCAATCGAGGCCTGTCCATGTACTCCTACTTTAACCGTTTGAAACATTATCAAGTAATCGATTTTTAGTGAAAGCAAAAGACTAAAATTCAAAGAAAGTGAAAAGGTAAATGGTATTGAAATCTATATGAGAAAACTTCACTTGGGTGTTGCTCCCCTAGCTATGTATCAAGATCAACCGAAAATAATGCAAGTGTGTGAAAAAGTGGTTGTTAACCATAGGAGAGCGCAACTAGTGAAGAATCTTCACTCTCTCGATAGTTGATTATCTCTCTTGGCCAATCAACTAATTGAGGATTGCCAAGGCTACTCCCTCAGACTTAGTCCGGACGACAAAACCACAACCAACTCAAAGCGCCAAAACAAAGTTTGAGGTTTGCCCTAATTCGGCCTAAGTAGGTGGCTCAATTGGCCAAGAAATTCCAGCTCATAAAATCCTCCTAGCAAGAAGAGGATTTCCCTCTACCTAGGTCAAATTGGAAAAATAATGAGAAATTGAGAACACAACTCAAACCTTCTGAAAATACCGCAATAATTGCATTAAAATACAAACCACGCACAAAACATTCAATTCATACAACCTATCACATAGTTCTAGCTAAGGTTTATAATACCCAAGTGAAAGAAGGGAACTAGTCCATGCCTAGATTAGGGAATACAACAAAGAAGGGAGAAGATACCATGATGTGGCTTTTGCCTTCTTCCTTTAATGTAGAAATCAGCCTTGGCAGATGTGATTCCCAAATCTTCAAGCTTGGAGCAAACCCTAGCTTTCTTCCACTCTCTTGTTCGTCACTTCTCTCTCTAAAATCCGAGGAAGAAAATGCAGTTCTCTAACTAGGCTCTCCCTCTCTTGTTTCAACTCCCTTCTCCTTGTATACCCAGATTGCGCAAGTTTCACGATCACAATTCACGGTCGTGAACTTGAAGCTTGGACCGTAATCTCAAACAGAAACGCTTCGTATCATTTAAGGTCTTCATGGTGGGGGAAGGATTGTCACGGTTGATTAACCGTGATGTCGTTTAGGTCCGCGAGGTGCACAAAAGCCTATGGATTCTTTGCTCTTCACGGGCTGGGCTCCATTATCACGGTCGGCGTTACCGTGAAAAACTGGCGTCCGCCGTGATCCTCGTCTGTTTGCTCCCTTCGATCCATTTTAGCCCCCCTTTTGTCTAACTTTTCCTCCCAAGGTCAATTTCACCACCTGCTAAGACCAGAAACATGCAAGAAACAAGCACACCCTAGCGTAAAATTGAACCTCACGAGGTGAAAATGCCTCAAACGTCGCAAGAATATGGGGAGAAAACATGTGAAATTGGACCTAAATCACCCCAGTAATGTACAAAGTCTCGATTGTAAAAGCTATGTTCTTGTCATTGTAGAAGATTTCTCAAGGTTCACCCGAGTTTTCTTCCTTGCTTCAAAAGATGAGTCTTTCTCAAAATTCAGATTATTTGTCATTTTTTCTCAAAAACAATCTAACAATATGTCAAAAGTATTAGAAGCAACAATGGTGGTGAATTTTTGAAGAAAGAATTTGAGAAATTTTGTGATTCTCTTGGATTCTGGACATTTTTTCAACCCCTAGAACGACACAACAAAATGGTGTTGTGGAAAGATAAAATAGATAATTGATTGAAACCGCCAGAACCATGTTACTTGAGTTCGATATTCCCAAATGTATTTGGTGAGAAGTTTTCAATATTGCATGCTACGTAGTTAATCGTGTTTCCATTCGTAAAATTATAAATATGACTCCTTACAAAATTTTAAAAGGAAAAACTCCAAATCTGTTCTACTTTAAACCCTTTGGTTGCAACTGTTTTATTCTAAACACTAAAGACTTCCTTGGAAAGTTTGAGGCTAAATCTAATGCTGGTATATTTCTTTGATATTCTAGTAAGGGTTAAACTTATAGGGTTTTGAATAAGAGATCTGATATACAATTTCGTGCATTCATTTTGATATCACTAGTAGACCTGATATACAATTTAGTGTCTACCTATGTGCTAGATTTCAAAACCAACCAAAAGAGATTCACTTTTCTACCGTCAAACATATTTTTCTTTATCCAAAGGATACATCTAAACTTGGTCTTTGGTATCCTCAGTCTGAGTCTTCCTCCCTCATTGGAGATTCTTATTCTGACGTTGCCAGGAGCATGACATATAGAAAAAATACCAGTGGGACATGCCAATTTTTAGTTTTGCTCTTGTCTCATGGTCTAGCCAAAAACAAGGATCTGTAACTCTGTCGACTGCCGAGGCTGAATATATTGCATCCGTCATTTGTTGCACACAAATCATATGGTTAAAATCTTAATTGCACGACTATAGTTTTAAGCATGAGATAATACCCATTTTATGCGACAATACTAGTGCAATATGTATTTTGGAAAATCGGATTTATCATAATCGGACCAAGCATATCGAGGACTCGCTTCTACCTTCACTCTAGAAAATGGCCAAGTGTAACCACCTACTAGAGCGTAGTATAGCGGGTTTGGGTTTTAATGTCAACCCGGGTCCTAAGTGTGATGACTACTCCGTGAATTCTTATTATTTAGCAGTGAAAGTGTAGTGAAGGTCCAAACAAGCAAACAAGCAAAGCAGTAAAAGGTTGTTTTCAAGTTGAGAGAGGTCACCCGGATATGGGTCCCCCTAGACTGCAGTTAAGCCGGATTGTAATTCACCAAGTTCAAGTTCAATGATAGTTATACTGCGGGAGGTTCTTAAACAGTCTGCAGTCTCGACTAAAGGTCTCCAGACCCTCTCAATCTGAGTACCCAGCGGGCGACTAACCTCCACTAGAGTAAATAGATTGAGGCCCTAACGAACCAAACTTCCTCTACCGAAGTAAATCCGGTACAGAATAGTGAATTGACTCCTCGACTAAAGTTGTCAATTCACTACCATCAATCAAGGGTTCTCTATATATCAACCTAGGCAGATATTCTCTTTCTAGGTCAAAGCATAAATAACAAGAATTTGATCAGGATTCATGTCATTCAAGAAATCAAACCTCAATTGAATATAATCATATCACTGAATTCGTACTTGAGTTCATACAATCAGACCTAACATACAAATCTAGGGTTCTTCATACTCAGGTGAATGAGAAAGTTACTCCATAGAGAGGTCTTGAAATGGAATTGAAGTATGGAAATTCCGTTTTTCTGCTATTCAAAGCCTGTTTTATATGTTTTTTATCCTTTTAGCTGAGCCTAGCCATTGAACTACGAGTAGTGAAATGGAATTAGTGGTTGTCGAGGGGGAATTGTAGTATGAAAATTAGGTTTTTTCCTCCCAGCTCCTCCCAACTATGAGACCGTGGGTACTAAAATGGTATTCTGGTTGCTCCACTGGAATTGGAGTATGGAATTGTATTGATTGGTACCTTTACTCATCACCGATATGTTTCTCTGAAGCTGATTTCGAGTTTGGATCATATCAACAGGTGCAATGCCTTCGACGTACTGATGTGATGTAATTTATAGTATCACATGAAAATGTTACTCTTTAGATATTTAAGAAATGAAAATAAATAGATTAACATTCCAATTGAAGATTTTTCATATTGATGGTCTTAGACATGCCACTTTAGTGAATCTGTCATGGTATAGCGGAATCTAGAATGTCAAAAGACTTTGATTTTGAGGATAAGATGATTCATCTTATTTTAATTCGACTCTTCCTGACTCTATTGGTAGTGGTGAACGAGCTTTTTCTGGCATGAACTAGTGAAGACCAAATTGCATATCAAAATTAGTGATGATTTTCTCGTCCATAGTCTTGTTAGTGGAAAATTTTGGATTCGTCACTAGTTTGAGTGATATTATTACTCTAAAATAGTATCGTGTACGGGCATTGCTATTAGTCGCCCTAAAATGTCTTATTCGTCGCCGTAATTAACTTACATTTATTTCAATGCCCTTAGTTCATTTATTTGTCTTTCAAGTACTTCGCGGTAGCTGTTATGCTGCAACTCTGTTCTGGTTTGTAATCTCCTTGGCGTAAGCCTCCCCTTTTATAAAAAAAAAAGTACTTAAATCCCAAATTAAACTCATATACTACACCAAATCACAAAATACCATCAAAGAAACAACAAGGAATACGAAGAAGAAAACCAATCATTCAACGAAAAATAACCAACAATCTGTCACACCCGGTTCTTGGATTTTCCAATTTCCAACGAGTGATTAGTCATGAAAGATAATTATAACATGAAAACATTAAATCTACTTAATCCCTACCTACAATCAATCAAGAGAGGGATTTATTCCCCTCCACCTTCTTGCAATTTGGCCAGATAGCTAAACCCAAAGCTAATAAACCATCTCACTCATCAGAATCCAAACGAGAAGCAACTACAACTTCCCTGCTCTCATCACCAATACGTCTTTCCCTAGAGGACCGCAGCAGCAGCAGCCAAGAGCAGCGGTGGATTGAGGTAGCAACACATATCGAGAGTTTGGTGACGTACGTAGTTTCGACGGCGGCGGATTTGAATTGGGGTGAGGAAGGGACTAGAGATTGTTTGGTTAGGGTCTAGATCTGAAAATGAGTATAAGTGTAAATATGTAAATTTGTTGCGTTTTCGGACGATAAAATTTGAATTTTAGGTTGACGAAGTTCTTTTATTATTACTTTGATAAAATTAACCGTTGGCTCCCTTGAACTTGGAATCATAGCTTTGCCCCTGCCTAAAAATTTGCCACATTAATTAGTAATTACAACTTACTTAATCAGTCCAGAAGAAGAAGGAAAAAACGTATCTAATCTGTGGATTCAACTGATTGAAATCCCAAAGGAAAAACAACAAAAGAAAGAAAAATATTATTATTTTGCTAGCAACTCGAAACACACATTATTAGCAAAAGCAATGGTATTGGTATCTGTCATTTGCCTATAGCGCATTGATGATAACTTGAACCCCCTTCTCTGGCCTAACCGCCAACACAGGGAAAGGTGAATGGACATAGCCCGGGGAAAGACTGAAAGTAAAGCGCTGAAGGATCATTGCAATTGTTATCTTTGCTTCATTTGTGGCGAAGTTGAATCCTGCACATGTGTGAGGTCCCATCCCAAAGGGCATGAACGCACTTGGGTTGTTGTTTGTAGCTTTAGCAACTCCTTCCGAGAACCTATCCGGCTTGAAAAGATGGACATCTTCTCCCCAAATGTCTGGATCATGGTGAATCGCCATGATTGGAATGTGCAACTGGACGCCAACGGGCAAATCGAACTTCCCAAGTCTGGTTTCCTTATCGACAACACGCATGAATCCGGCGAATACTGGAGAGTACAGCCTTAAAGTTTCGTTGATGATCATACCCATCTGTAACAAAAGATTGAAAACAAGAGAGAGTAGGTTATTAGAGACCCAATAACTTGATTATACAGACGATACAACAAGGTTTTAATCTCACAAAAACCTTTTCCAACTATTGGTTTTGTGACACTGATTAGAGTTGCATTGGATCGGGTGATACTATATCAAATGTCGATGGATATTAATGTCGCATCTATTGTAAAATAGCTAGCACACGTCTGAGCAGCATATATTTAATAAATGGTATTGTCGAGATTTGAACACAAGAACTTTTAATCATTGAAGAGTTTGATGCCATATGAAAAAACCATTTACTCTCAATAACTCGAGTTAGCGAGAGAAGTTCAGTTATGAATAATAAACTATTTTACTAATAAATATCTATAACACGAGTAATTCCCAAAAAGTTATCTCCACCATAAAAGCTCTTATAGATTTCCACAATCCAAATTGACGGACATCCCATCTCTCAAAACATATGAATCAACAGGTGTACTACTCATGAGAACAAAAAAAAAAAAAAATTAAAAGGGCAAAAGAGTATGATTACCAGTTTGAGCCTTGTAATCCCATCGGAATCAGGGGTTTTATCAGGACCAAATACCCTAAGAACCTCTCTTCTTGCCTCTTCTTGCCATTCTTGATGGATTGATAAAAGCAGAATCATCCAAGAGAGCAAAGTATTTGTTGTTTCCTGTCCAGCCACATATAGAGTTTTGCATTCGTCGACCAATTGGTCTGCAGAAATCTTCATGGAATGGCCTTCATCATGGTAAGCCTTGAGAAGTAGTCCAAGATAATCTTTCCCAAAGCCATCGACCTCTCTGTTTTTCACCTTTTCTTGTCTATTTTTCACCATTTCCATAATCGAGTCTGCAATTCTTTGGACCAGCCTGATAGCGTCCTTCTCATCTTTGGTTTTGAACAGGTCACTGCAACACCATATTCATACTAGAGGTAAATTAAAGTATCACCACTCCATACAACATGTTGACTTGAGATTACTTCTGGGAAATTGGGTTCGGTTTAAACCGAAACTGTGAACCGGTAAGAATCCTACAATCGGTTTCGGTATCTGCTCCCAAATTGGTTTATATTTTGCCTGAAATTTTCTTTGAACGTTAATATTGACGGTCAAACACTTCTTCCGTTAGTGACTCAACAAAAAATGCTGATGTGGCTTATGCATGAGTGCCACGTTATTATATAATATTATTTTAGTTTTTATAATTCAATTGGAATTAAAAAAAATTAACAAATTAAAAGAATCCCTATTATTATCCCAAACCCTTCATTGTCGCACCGCTATCATCTTCCCCATATCCAAGCCCTACAACCATGAGTCCTGCTCCGCCACAGCGCTGCCATCACTTTACCTACCGCCGCCACCCCACAAATGGCGTCACCGGGTTCTGCGCCGCCTACCTCTGCGAGCGCCTCGCCCTCAAGCTCCACCGCGCCAAATAATTCTCCAGCAGCTCCAACCCCAATGACTCCTAGTCCACCACTTCCACCTCCTTAACCACCAACACCACAATCTCCGAGCCACACCGTCGGTTATGTGATTGCTGCCAGAGACGACTTCCTCTCTCCCTCGGATCCGACATTGCCTACATTTTGGTTCCACCATCTGCAGCGTCAGATGACCTATTCTGCTCCTTTTTCTCTCCGGACGGCGACCCCTGTTGGAGGAAGAAACAACTGCCATTCCATCTTGCCGCCGTGGTGGATCTAGAGACCAACGCCCGAGTCTCCTCTGATCTCCTCCTCTCTGACCTCGAACCATTTGTCGATAACATTTTTGAAGGGAAGAGATCGGGTGGGAGACGCCATTTGACGATGATGTGATTGAGATTAGGGTTTGAATTTGGAGATTTTGGGATAAGAAGAGGGATTCTTTCAATTTGTTAATTTTTTTTTATTTCAATTGAAATACAAAAATTAAAATTTATTGTATAATGACATGGAACCACATCAATATTTTTTGCTGAGTCACTAACGAAGAGGTGTTTGACCGTCAATATTAACGGTCAAAGAAAATTTCGAGCCAAATTTGTCCATTAATTTGAAAAGTTGGCCATAGCTGTCTTATTAAAAAATTCAGGCCAATTTCGTGTGGAAATGTAAGTAGTTCCTTTTTGGAGTGAGTTTGTATAGACTGGTTTCAGCTTTTGTTTGCTGTTTGTGGACGAGTTGTCCTTGTATTTTGGACCGCCTTAACCGATTTGGTTGAAGGGAGCTTCAATGAATGCCTAATTACCGAAAAAAATTCAGGCCAAAATTGTCACTGTGGCCAAACTTCGGGCCAAACTAGGGTATTAAGTCTAAAAAATATTACAAAAGGGTGCATGATTTTGGTTATCATTTTGTTCTAACCGAAATCGAACCTGTTATGAGGCTTCTTTGTTTTCGCTTAACCGAAAATCGACAAGCCACTTAATGAGCTTGGTTTCCGTTTTGGGAAGACCGACTATATCGGATTTTAGTTTTTTTAATGGTTTTACTTCGATTATGAAACCAAACTCAACCAATAGTCCTACTACTTGAGAGTTGAGACAACTATTATATCTTCATCTTTGCCAGTTGGAGCGAGGGGTGGCAGGTAGGCAGGTAGGTACATACCTAATGATTGGAAGACTCATTTTGAATGTATTTCTGTCGGAAAGAATCATCAATTCGTTGAGCATGCCAAATATATGTTGTCCTTCCTTGAAGCTGCTCCCAAAAGCTGTCCTGGAAATCACTTCCGACGATAAAATCCTGAATTCTTCATGAACTTCGATCTCTTTCCCCTCCTTCATCATCCATCTCTCTAGCATCATCTCTGCGCTAGCGATCATGTCCGGCACCATACTCTGCAAACAGTCAAAATGTCACTTTCGTTATTTGTTTATTTATAATTAACTACTTAATCTTGCTTTTTTATGTGAACCCATGTGCCCAGTACCAAATACCAACATAAATTCATGTTGTTAAATTCAACTAACCCATATATATAGGCCCATGACAATGATACATATCAAAATACAATGATAAAAGGTCTTAAATAAAGACCATAACCACCATTTACATTATATCTCAGCCAGTCCTTTCCAATTTTCATGAGAATCCTATGAATTGTATAACAAGTCAAGGTTATTGGGTGTTTAAAGCTTTCCAAAACAATTTTTTTTTTTTTTGAAAAAATTTGGAATAATTTTGGATGGATCGATTAGAAAACGAGACAATTTGGTCAATTGACTCATTCTATAAAATGAGTCATTCAATACGATTCAATTTGATTTACATGCTCCCACTTGCGAACAATTGTAATTGCCTCAAATGAGTCAATTACGAATTCTCCTGGCCAAATTGCTTCATTCAAATTTTTTGCTATCAAACATGTCAATTTAGTGCAATTATCTAATAACAAGACAATCGGGTCAAATTGATCTGTAAGAACTACTCATCCAAACGACCCATTATTTTACCTAAGCTTGATGAAGCAATATATGTTATAATATTTTATCATAATGTTAGACTATTTATTTATTATCTAAAAGATTATGATGATCTTAATTAAGATTCCAAACTAATGAGATTTCCCCCCCCCCCCCCCCCCCCCTAAGAAAGTCAATAACGAACCTTACAATTTAAAAACATCTTTTCTCCATAAAAAGAAGAAAAAGTAGACTGATCGCATTAGAAAATGGCTAAACTTCCCTTCCACTCGAGTATAAACCTTAATCACTTCGATAAATTATGGCAAACATCTGGTGTCGTTACTCTCAAATTATGAATGGATTTGATTCAGACCTGTGATCAAATGGATTCTCATCACTACTTCACAAACATTATTCATGTTCCCTCATTGAAAACGGCAACCCAAACAAAGATAAAAAAGAATTTGCTTTTAATGAAAAGTTTGAGGTCTTTAGCTTACTTTGAGGTTGTCGCCATGTAAAGCGAAATCCGCAATTTTTCTCACCTTGATCCACTTTTCACCTTCGCTAATTGCAAGTCCTTGGCCGAAAATCTTTTGAAGGTAAGGAAAATACAGGTCAGATTTAGAGAAAATACGAGCTTTGTTGCTTAGAACCTCTTTGATCAAATCTGGGTCCCCGAGAACCATTTGAGCCCGCGGTCCAATCCAAAACACAAAATTCTTCCCTGTATCGACCAAAAACATTCGAAATTCCTTTGAGTAACAAGGTGAGAAGTAAACATATGATAATCCACAAGATGCAACTTGAATTGAAATTTGAAGCCTCTTTAATTTCTCCTTAATAATTACCGTATTGCTTGGACCATAGGGAGACGTGAGAAATGACCCTGTGGGCTATGTCGTGAGAAAGAGAGGGCATGGATTTGGCCAACGCTTCCTCTCTGAGCTGGATGAGTTGTTTGGCGTTGCCTAAGAGGAAAGTGTAAGGAGGGCCTTTGAGCCCCTGCGAGTTGAGGAATCGCTGTGTCTGGAGAGGTTGCCATATCACTTTGTGTAGGAATTGGATGACGGCATAAACGATGTAGGCGGACGCAGCTGAGATGAGAAGCAGATATGTTGGAAGAAGATTCATTGCTTAGTTTCGCAAGCGGAAGTGTATTGAGAAACTTGTTCGTTATATTGTTGTATATATATAGGAGACCACTCGTTATACTGAAATATAATAATATACACAGACCCTTGGTTTCTACAAGTAGGTAGGACCATCCAACGCATGTCTTCTCTCCGTTTGCCATTTCCTTTTGTACTTCATGGGTGTAGAGTTTCCAACAAATGGAAGGCAAATGGAAGGCTAGAGCCATCCGCGTTTGGACACTTCTCTTGTTCTTTTTTTCTCTTTTTTTTTTTTTATCCGTCGTCCCGTGGTGGAAATATCATTTGAACACAATGTATATATTTATGAAATGTATCTTAACTTTTTCATTATTTTAAAGGATTAATTTTGTAAAACATTAAAGTGACATCAAAATTATTTTTTATTTTAAAAATATAATAACCTTTTATCAATTATCGAACATCATATTCTTAATAAAAGTAACACTCCTGAATAATCATTCATGATACGTATATACACGTATATTTAATGATGCAGTCACTATCTATAATTGAAAAGAAAACCCCATAGCTAAAAAGAAAGTTTGTCTCACAAAGTTACTTCTTCATAATTACAATGATAACTAACATAAAAAAACTAACAACCATAATGAAAACACAAGTTTTACTATCCGATAGATTTTGGCATCTTGGATATTAATGGCCACTGCCAAGGCATTAATAGATGTGAATGAGGGAACGTTGATTTTCAGGGACGGAGAGAAGAGTATCCCCTTTTCGATTGATCAAAATGATAAGTCTAAGGATGTGGATGCAATAGAATCGAATGGTGTTATTGTTAGTGGAGGCAAGCCTACCAAAGCGAGCCTCATTGTGCTAATCGTGTTTTTGATGATGTGAAGAAGGATTCGAAAAAGGGTGAGAAACCTGAAGTAAAGAAAAAGAAGAAGAAGGAGGAATGACACCAAAAGATGAAAAATCTTCGCTTACCCCACACAAAAAACAAGGGTAAGGAGAAAATGATTGGCTATGAAGGACATCCTTTGGAAATGGTATTCCGAGGTGACAAGCCTCAACCCAAGAATGTGGCAGATCCACTCTCGGTGGCCTCATGTTCTAACGCACGAAGATCTGTAACGTCCAATGCAGTCAAAAGCGCGATTCTACCTAGAAGCGGTTGGGTGACCTAGATGCGTAAAACCGTAAGCTTTTGAGTTTTAAAGCGTAGATTTTGACTACATTTGTAAAGGAAAATCACGATTCTACGTAGAAGCGTTTTGGTGACCTAAAAAAGTAAAAGCGTAAGCTTTTAAGTTTTAAAGCACTATTTTGACTGCATTGGTAACGTATAGCTAAGGAGTTAAAAAAGAGCTTGTTGGGACGAAACCCAATGTAGGTTTGTATTTCTTTTCCTTATTTTTCTCTTTTTGTATGTGTGTGAGAGTCAAATGTGTGCTTTAAATTGTCACTGTGCCCATGGTTGATGTTTTGATCGATGAATGTGTTGTGTTTGAGTTTGAGGCACGGTTGAGTCGATCAAGTTGAAAACCGGTGAAATCCGTTGTTTTTGCACATATAACAGGTTAGTGCTAATTTTCATGGTTTGATGGGGATTTCTGTCACAGGTGCAAAAACACCACGGTTTACATGTAAATGTCATAGGCAAAACCCGTGATAACATAATGCAACGTGACGCCGACCGAAAACTTACCGTTTTGAGCCGTGATCACTGGTTAAGTGTTAGGATCACGGTCCGAGACCATGAAATCAACACTTAAACCTTGATCCTCGACCTCGAACAATATAAATTGGGTGTGAAGTCTACTCAAAACGTGAAGTTCCCCTTACTGGAACACTCAGAGCTTATTGTTAGAAATCATCTTCACATACGGTTTTTTCATCGATTTGATATACTTTCAGCTGCCCAATCCAAAAACAAAACACATACTGATTCTCCCTACCCTTAGGCGCTCCTTTGCCGATATTACGGAGAGATTTGGGCTCAATGTTGTCACCGACGAACTATTCTAGTGGCACTCTAGTGAGCTTCCGGTGAAGCTCCGACGACCTTCTTTTGTCACTTTTTTGGCCGGCTTTTGACACCCTCGCATCCTCCCCACCTTACTATTTAATCCTACTTGTGTCTCCAGGTGTGTTTTGAACTTTTACTTAGTCAATTTTTTAGAATCAGGTGTAGGGTTCATAGGTGAGTAGTTTGGAATTTTTGCATGATTGAGGAAATTTGATGAGGACTTAGTTGAATGATGATTGATTGCATGTTTTTTAAGTGATTGATGGGATATTTGTGCCATGGTGGGAAATATTTGGCATGTTAATATGTTTGGATTGAATAATACCCACCAAGTTTATGCTTAGTTGTCTAGCATTGATACACTTTTTTGCATGTTGAATGGTGGTCATCTTGCCATGATCTAGGCCTACATTTGCGACCTTCGTGTTATGTGAAATACCTAGTTTTGTGCGTCAATATGTTTTTCGGATGATTGTGATACAATTTTGGGCATCCGACCTTGTGAAATAACCATGTAGGCATGTTACCTATGTCGGAAATTAAGTGTGGGGGTGTTATTTTCTCCCCAATATGATTTTTCTGACAAATGTTTCGAAGTATGGTGCTTGTTACTTGGTATTTTTCCAAGTTGGTTGATCCCACGCATGACTATATTCACTACTTGGTGGATCACCCCAACTATGGTTCCCGGTTAGAGTCATGGAGAAATGGGGATATTGGACCCCACTGGCGCCTCGACTTTGACATGTTTGATCTTTTTCATTGCCAGGATGCGATGTCAGCACCCATTGCTCATCTGTACTGGAGCCAATTGCTCAGCCTCGACTTTGACATCTTCAGGCACATGCAGCCTAGAGAACAATGTGAGCAACCATATGTGGAGTTCAGTTTGAGTGGAGTCCTCCATACGATTGGGTAAGACACCTTAGCCCGGGCTTTGGGGCTCCACACGGGGATCATGACGATGATAGAGCTTCAAAGTACCGGGATGTGAGTCCCCAACGGATCCACCTTTCGTGATGTTGACAAACTCTGTGGTCCCGAGTTCTCTAGCTCAGGGACAGGTGACCCTTCGCGAGGTGGTGGTACTTCATGCGATGAGTCAACCTCGAGAGCCTCTACTTTAGAGATCGGTTGTAGGGACATCATTCTCAAAGATTTTGGGTCGACCACGAGTCTACACGATCCACTTGGGCCCCATAATCACTCGAGTAACCCAGTACTATGGTGTGGACACCACCTGCACACTAGTTAGGAGGATGGACTTCTTCCCTGTCGAGACACTTCACCATATGGGACTTGCCAGATCGAGTGAGGCCTCAAGTTCATCGATGGCCTCCAACCCTCAACTATGTTTTTACCAATGGCGGGGGAGGTTAGAGAGTCATCCTAGAGAGCTCCACCACCTCGCCGATGTGGCCATACTGGCACTTCATCATCATCCGGAGCCGGTCCTGCCTCTTTAGGCAACCTTGAGGCTCGAGTCTCTAGCCTTGAGGACCAGTTTGCCGGAGTCTCATCCCAGATCACCCAAGAGAGTGACGCCCAACGAAATTCACTAGAACCCATCACCTCCTCGCCATGGGTAGCCAGCACCACTTGAGTGCTATGTTGGCACCATATTAGTTCCACCTAATTTCTCCTCCCTTTGACTGTACACTCTTTTTTTGTTATTTTTGTGTGTTGAACTAGTAGTATTGTGTTTTTATTTTCTTGTGATGTGTTAGATATTGTGATTGTTTTATAACATTTCCTTGAGAGAGCATGTGTTTTTTTTTTTGTTTCTTTGTTCCCTGTGAAGATCTCTCTCCCTTCAAACTAATTCATTTGCAGTCCAACTTTCACTCACCAATCATTCAGAAACTTCGTTCCACCCTTGGTCTTGCTCCATTAAAGACAATATCATGCTTAAGTGTGTGTGTGGGGGGGGGGGGGTGTGCATACATTTGTGATTGGCATGTGAATAATGAGTGTGAATGGGCTATCTAAATGTTTTGGAGCCTTATGATTGCCAAATTTCTACAATTTGAGAGCTCCAAACAGGTGTGCATGATTGATTAACGATTGATATTGATATGTGGTTTTGAACCTAGTTTCTTGCTTAAATTGAATATATAAGGGGTTCCGAACACATTGTGCCAAGCCTATCCTTGCTCATTGTACTTTGAATTGTGTGATGATTGGGATGGTGTGCATTATAGACAGTAGTGTGGTGCTACGAATATTCTTGATCATGAGTGCCTTTACTTCTATTTACTCTCGGTTGTTTGAAAGTGTTTGCTATGGAGGTTAGGACATGTGTGTTGGAATCTTAAAGTTTGGACTCCAAAATAATTTGCAAAAGGTCCTCCAATTTGAAAAAACTTTTAAAAAATGAGTGTTCTTATGGGAGATGCAACTGAGCATAGTGTTTGAGTTCAGTCGTCAAAGTGCTTTTCTCTCATTCCAGAGTTGCATTTGAGGATATGTTTGGGGATCATATAGTTTTCTAGTGTCACCGGTCATCATTTACCACTTTTCGTCCCCCAAACACCTCTTGTCCTCAAGGACTTGTATGATAAGGAGAAATGTGCCTTTAATCAAGTCAAAGAGACCTCGGTTCTTGTTTGTGCACACATGTGTGGAACTGGTCTGTTATTGAGACGAAGAGTGAAGGCTGGAAGGCAATGAACCCAACCTTCATTTCCCCACATGAGGCTTTCATAGAGAAGGCAATGTACTTTTGCTCTTAGTTCGAGGGAGAGATAACTTAATTCGAAAATTTTCAAAACTGTGATGGCATGTACGACAAAGTTTAAGTTGCGGCTCAAAAATTTGAGTCCTCTTCTGAATGAAAGTTGGAGCACCACCATGGAGTCCTTTGCTTTTCACACATTTTCTATGAGTCTCCAAGTGCACACGTGAAGTGTCTAGATCTCCTTAGTTGACAAGTTCCTTATCTGAGTGTGTGTTGGCACGAAGAGATAAAAGTAAAATCTACCCGACTT